CACCACCGCCTTCCTCCTCTGCCCCACCTCCCTCCACGTCCCCGTCCTCTACTTCTCGCTCCTCTCCATCGGCGTAACCGTTTCCCCGGCCAATCCCCTCGCGTCGGACTCCGAAATCGCCCACCAGATCCGAATTACCCGACCCGCAATCGCCTTCGCCACGTCGGCCACCGCAGGAAAGCTCCCGCCTAATCTGAAAACAATAGTAATCGACTCGCCGGAGTTTCACTCGGTGCTTGAAAACGACGACGACGAAGGAAACGAAAACCACGACGTTTCGTGGTCGGAGGTGCGCCAATCCGACGTGGCGTCGATTATGTTCTCCTCCGGCACGACGGGGAGAGTGAAGGGCGTGGCACTGACCCACCGGAACCTGATCGCGATGATCGGCGGCTACCACGCGCTGCGGCTGAAGCCGGCTGAGCCGGGGCTCCCGCATCCGGTGAGCATGGTTTTTATCCCGCTGTTCCACATGTTCGGGTTTTTAATGGCGGCGAGGGCGGTGTCGATGGGGGAGACGATGGTGCTGATGGAAAGGTTCGATTTTGAGGGGGTGCTGAGGGCGGTGGAGAGGTACAGGGTGACGTACATGCCGGTGTCTCCGCCGCTCGTGGTGGCGCTCACCAAGTCCGAGGTTGTCGGGAAGTACGACCTCAGCTCGCTGCAGCGGCTCGGCTGCGGCGCCGCGCCGCTCGGGAACGAGGTGATCGAGAGGTTCCGTCAGAAGTTTCCCGCTATCGGGATTACGCAGGTGACCTGTAATTATTGTACTGGTTCTGGTTGGCTTTTTTTTTTTTTTTTTTTTTTTTTAAAGAGATAATAGAGTTTTTGTGTGTTTTTTTTTTTATAATTAATAGAGTTTTTGGCCCGTTTTTTTCACTGATTTGAGTTTAAAATTCAAGTTTTGTTATAATAAAAAACTATCAGAAACAGTCATATTTAATTTTTTTACTACAGTAAAAAATTTTCACACAACATCATATCTCAACTCAAATTAAAAACTCAAATTGACGAATTGAACGGTTTTGTGTGTTATTATTGGTCTCTTTTGTCGGCCATTGCTATTATTTATGCCTTAAAAAATAGAATTATTTGTTTTTTGTTTTTGTTTTTTTTAAGAACTATTGGCACTATTTTTCCATTAAATTTTGAATAATGTGACATTTTGGTATCGTTTTTTTTCTGACAGTTTTGTACTTTTGTTCACCCACACTAGAATTGATGAACACTTTCTCAGATTTAATGTAGAGATCATAGGATTAAGTCATAAGATGTGGTGTAACTAATTAGTGTATTTCATAGAATGTATTTGTTGACGGTGAAAATTCGTCTAACTCAGAATTTAACTTCTATGGGAACATAACAACACTCACAAATTAGTTATAAGCTAAATGTTGAAAATAAATGAACACGAAAATTTATAGTGGTTCGGCAAAATATTAGTGCCTATATCCAGTTGTGGATGCACTAAATCTCAAAGAATATAGAATCTCTCTCGGAGTAGAAAATTGTAAGTAGAAACTAAATGATGAGTTTAACCCTTATTTATAGGTTAGTTATAGGTTCTCTTATATATGATATTTCTTATTTCTAAATTACATTATGAGATAAGCTTTTTATTCCTTCCTTAAATAAGGATTTCCATAACTTTATCTCTATATTTAATTATTTGAATTTAAATACACGGTTGTAGATGATAATTCATATCGGATCTTCTATTTGAATTTGAATATGAAATATGAGCCATCCTCTCCTGATATGGCAAGCTTTGGGTTGATCTCGGCCTTACATCGGACTTGTCGACTTCTCTATGTAGATAGTGATATCATATAATGAAGTTACGTGGTCTTCCCAAAAAAAAAAAAAAAAAAAGTCATAAAATGTGGTGTAACTAATTAGTGATAAAGTAATCACTATCTAGAGTGCAGTAGAGTTGATGCACAATCACCACAGAGTATACTGGAGTTCACACAAACAGTTTAATCATTGTTGGATTATACTTGTTGGTTGGCATGGAATAATAATATGTTTATTTCATTATTGTTGCGTCAAAAAATTATATGTTTCCTTGCTACACATTCGGCAATAGATTGCTAAATAGGACACATGCAACAATTATTGCCGAACTGAAGTTGTAATTGTATGGCCTACAGTAGTAATTGTTTAATGGACGACCTAACTTCAACTTGTTGGTTAGTGGTTTACGTCTTTTTCAAATGACGCTATTCTACTCTCTAAATTTTGGTAAGTTAAAGATAATACGCAACTGTCCTTGTCCAAAATCCTTTTAATAAAAAGCTTGGCAGGACCGTTAGTACTAAGCATCGCAACAAATAGAAGTTGAATCTTAGCTGCAAGTCTCATGCTGTGGGACACCCACTTTTTATATTAGGTTGTGGTGCGCATCCTAGCATTGCTATTATTATTGTGGACATTAGTTGAACATTTCACCACCGTATGGTCGTGTTCCTCCACTAATCTCCCGGACCGTGGCACGGCAGGGATATGCATTGACGGAAACGGCAGGAGTGGGGAGCAGGATGGTGGAGGATGCGGAGACACGAAGGATTGCTTCGGTGGGTAAATTAGCTGAGAACATGGAGGCCAAGATTGTTGATCCTGCTACGGGTGAAGCGTTGCCTCCAGGTCAGAAAGGGGAGCTTTTGCTGCGAGGCCCAACAATCATGAAAGGTAGTATTTTGTTGTTCTCTTGATCTGTATTCTTCTCTTGAAATGGACATCTTGGAAGTTTCATTTTTTATTTTTTATGGCATTTCAAGGTTACAGACTGGAAACGAGAAATCCATATAGCCGACCCCAATTAATTTGGGATTAAGGCTTGTGTTTGTTGTTGTTGTTGTTGTATGGCATTTCAAGGTTGGAACTTGGAAGAAGACTGGCGGTTGGTCTTCTTATACAATCATGTAGTTCCTGCACGTGCAAATTCAAGGCTAACATCTCAAACATCTTATAAGATAATCATCCGTCCGGCATTTTCTTTAAATTTAAGGGCTAAGTAGTAGTTTTGTAATGGAACTAATCGTACTATTGGTCCTCACTAAACTTTGCAGAAAGTCTCCCGTTAAATATCTAATGGAAAATGTTAAAAGAGGGTAACATGTAATTACTCTGGTGAAAAAAACAAGATTTTTGTAAAAGTATAGAGACCAACCAAAGTAAAAAAAAGGGCTTGTTAAATTAAACATACTAAACAGATTTTGTACATGTAATAAGGGCCACCGGTAGTACTTCTTAACTAATGGCGCTTGTTTGCATTGCAAATGCAATGGTGACATTGAAGCAGGTTATGTTGGCGATGAAAAGGCAACAGCCGAGACCTTTGACCCCGAGGGATGGCTAAAGACTGGTGATCTTTGTCTATTTGACTCCGAGGGGTTTCTCTACATTCTCGACAGATTGAAAGAATTGATCAAATACAAGGCTTATCAGGTGATTCAAAATGAGGACCCCTTTTCCCATCTTGTTCTCTGTCCATCCAATTAGTTTCTTACACGTTATGTGAACAATGATGACTGTCACATGTATTTATCCGCTTCATTTGATAATTTCCCAGAATTCCAACTATTTAATTATCTATCAAAATTGAATTCATAAACGAAAGAACAAGACTGAAAAATTGAACAGACAATTTGCTCATCACAAAGATGAGTCTGCAGATTTCAGTTTTGTCCTTCTAATAGTATTTTTTTCTTGTGTCAAAAATAAATTATAGGTTCCACCTGCTGAGTTGGAACATTTACTTCAGTCTCACCCTGACATTGTTGATGCTGCTGTAATTCCGTAAGTAATTTCATTTATGCTTGAAAATCTTCTCTATATGTGAATCACTGACCAATGTTTATTTGTGGCATTTTGGACAATCATAAGGATTCTGCTCTAAAGCTCTAGATTGTTTTTTCTCAAAGCAGGTACCCCGATGAAGAAGCAGGCCAGATTCCCATGGCCTATGTTGTGAGAAGACCTGGAAGCAATATCAGTGAAGCTCAAGTTATTGATTTTGTAGCGAAAAAGGCATGTTTCTCTTCTTTCTTCTTCGATAACATTCAACATGGAGCTAGAAACAAAGTAGTAACATTTTTCGCCATAGAATCAAACCCCATCTTCTAAGAGATCATATACAATGTGGTTTTGCAGTATTGAAGTATAGCATTTTTCATTTGCATTTACACTAGACTCGAGGCATCTTTCCTTGCAGGTTTCTCCTTACAAGAAGGTAAGGCGAGTAGCGTTTATCAACTCCATTGCAAAATCTCCGGCGGGGAAGATCTTGAGGAGGGAGCTGATTAGTCATGCTTTGTCTAGTGGTAGAGCTAAGTTATGATCAATTTTTCGTTCACAAGTTAAGAAGGGCAACCTTGTTGAGAACTGCATTGCCTGCATTTGAGCATGGCCAACGTCAACTTCATCGTATCGGCGTTTTAGGCAATGGCAATGCTCAGGAAGTTTTGGTTGGAAAGTTACTGATCGGAATTTCAGCAAATGCTTAAGGCAAGTTTCCGAAGAAGATCATGCTTGTAATACATCTATGTCATTCTTTTTGTACTCGCTATTATTCTTAAGTTAAAAATACTCCAAGGCCCTTTCTTGTTTTCTTTTCTTCCCCTTTATGATTCATTTTCTTGATCTATTCATTTATTTATTTTTTCTTAGATAAGATTTGAAGCCAAGACTTCTAGGTTAGGAAATAGTAGCTTCTACTATACCTATAGCAGCATGCATTTAGGGGACGTTTGATTGGAGGATTCAAACCATGATTTGAATCATGATTCATGGTGCGCTACAATATTTTCTCTCACAAAAAATACACGTAAATCGAAAATAATTCTAATCACATGATTCTAATCCATGAACCAAACGTCTCCTTAGTGTTGCTAAATTGCCTCAATAATGATAGGTTAAGCTATTTGAGTTTTTTATTTTTCAGTTATGGATGGTCCAAGTATTGGATATTTTACTTGGTCAACTTTGGTTAATTCTGCCCAATTGTATTAGATAAATGCAATTTATTATAGTTTTGTTTGGAATTTGACTATTATTCATCATGTTTTCCAGTCAAGTCTCATCGGTTTGATACATTTTTCATTCTTTGAAAGTGGTTACCCCTTGTTGTCCTTGCTGAAAAGCTCGTTAGTTTCTTTTTTTTCCTTAAAGGGACTCATAGTTTCATTTTTGGTAGAACTAGAACTTGGCAATTTGTCTAAACAACTAGACAGCCTAAAAGTTTAAAGTGTAAAAAAGGGACAAAAACTTTCTTGTACTAACAATTACACTCTTTGGTGCCTCTGAATCTTTTTTTTTTAGCAAAAAGTTTTGTTTTGTTTTGTTTTTGTTTTTTTTTTTGTTTTTTTTGTTTTTTTTGTTTTGTGTGTGTGTGTGTGTGTGTAAAAAAGTGCTTCGAATCATTACTATTTAAATCGGACCTGTTCTAAAAAAGTCGAGGCATCCAGGGAATAGATCGAGTAGAGACGGGGTAGAGCCCGTAGCTCAGAAGACTAGAGCACGTGGCTACCAACCAAGGTGTCAACCTAACAACGTATCTTCACATACCAAGAACTACGAGATCACCCTCAAATCACCCTTCATTTTGAGGTGACGGAGAAAAAATTCTAGTTGTGTAATGGGATTTATCATTTTTTTCCCCCACAAAGTGTCAATTCTAATTAAAATAAAAAGTTTTTCTAATAGGACTAAAAAAAAAATAAATTATCAATAATTTTTTATTTTTAAACGTCATATCTGTATCAAAATTTGTTTGTTATGCATATTTTTTCAATTTAATTTGATTATGACCGGATTCCATGGTCAGATCCAATCAAAATAACATTTTGATTGTTGTATTTGAGTGATGAAAAAACAGATAGTTTTCAATTTACTACTCGCAATTTTCCTCTAACTCCACAACTAGCATGAAGCAAATTTTTTGACCCGAAGTTTCCCAACCAATCAAGTTCACAATGATCAAAATCTACTAACTCGGTCCAGCTAGTTATTGTTTTGATAAGACGATGATGCTTGAATTTGTGATTGGTAGTTACCAGTTAATACCATTCAATTCTATCCACTGTTCCGTAATGCATCATTCATCAGGGAAACTATATGGCCCAATCAAAATTCTGCTGCCCTCACGTGTTTATCCAATCGAATACAGTGTAGAATACGTTTCAGAACGTCTCTTTCCTTTGTGGCCTAATTTCAATTCTGTTCTTTTCTTCTTCTTTTTTCCCCTTTCTCTCTCTCTCTTTTGTTGAATGATAGTTACTTAAGGCCCGTTTAGTTCGCTGATTTGAGTTGAGATGTGACTTTATGTGAAAACTTTTTACTGTGGTAAAAATATTAAATGTGACTGTTTATGAGAGTTTTTTACTGTAACAAAACTCAAATCGGTGAAATAAACATAGTCTTACAGTTAAATGAAACTTATATTTACACATCCTTTTTATTTCTCGTATCTCTCTTTTAAATACACATCTCACATATTTTGATAGCGGTTAAAATCTGCCAACCTTGTGATAACAACTGTTACTAAAAGAACTCAAGAAGTAATAAATCAAAAGGCAAATAAATGCACTTCGATAGGAACACAATAACAATGCAAACTAGAAAACATTGAAAAATTTGAAGTGGTTTCACTCAAAGTAGCCTACATCCACTGAGTTTCATGCACTGATTTCTTTGAATTTCGAATACCCACTCAATTCTTAAATAAATCTCACTCAATATGATTCAAGGTAGATACAATTTTTTTGACCTCTTTATTCATCCCCTCCTATCTTGTTTATAGAGTTCTTGGTAAAATAACGACTTGCGGTTGTTGAAACTGGGGTGTGTTTGGAATTCGTTCTAAAACGTTTTTATTTTTTGTATAAAAATGAAAACGAAAACATTTTTATTTTCATTTTGAAATTATTTCTGAAAATGCGTTTGATCGTTTTATTCCGAGATTATTTTCATGGACGGAGATGGGTTATGAGCTTTTTGTCGTCGCCGTGGGTCAACCAGAGGTTCTTGTCGCCGTTGGTGGTTCTCATCTTAGTCGGTGGGCTCTTGAGCTTTTCATCCTCGTGGGTCAGAAGAGACCAGAGGAGCTTAGGCAGATTTTGGGAAAATGAAAACGGTCTTAAATCGTTTTCAGATTTTCAGAAAAAGACAAAAACGTTTTTGTTTTCAATTTTTAGAAAATTGTTACACCAAACGCGTTTTGTCTATCCGTTTTCATTTTTTATCCTCGAAAAACGTGAAAAACGTTTTTAAAAATGAAAACAAACGGGCACCATGTTTTCCTTCTTTTTGGATTATCTCTATCATACCTTGATACCCAAGGACGCGTATAATGATGGTTAAATGAGTGGTTACTCTAAATAACTCAAATATTGTGAGATAGTAATTGAGGAAAAATGCTAGTATCTCTTTTTTAATCACTTTTTTTTTCACTCTCTGCATAAATTATTTAATATAAGAACTCTATTACATAATATATTATGTTACTGAAACCTCTGTGCCAAACAGTAAATGTAAAGAGTGATAAAAAGAATAACAAAAAAAGTTGATACCTTGATCTCAGCGATTACCTCTATCATACCTTCATACTCAGGGACGTGTATAATGACAATTAAATGAGTGGTTACTCTAAATAACTCAAAAATTATGAGATAGTAATTGAGGAGAAATGTTAGTATCTCTCTTTTAATCACTTTCTTTTTCACTCTCCGTATAAACTGTTTTATACATGAACTCTACTATATAATATATTATGTTATTAGAGCCTCTATGTTAAACAGTAAATACAGAGAATAAAAAAAATGTGATACTTGCATTTTACATACTCTATTTCTAGTTGTCTTGGAACTAGTCATTGCACCTGGACTTGCTTGGAGGAGAAAGGCCCCGGGTGGAGCGGAGGTCTGGTTTTCTATGTAGTTAGTAAAATAGAAAAATAGAATGATTAGCAAAAAAATAGAAAAATATAACCATATTTCTTTCTTTTCAAAAAAAAAAAAAAAGAACGTAAAAAATATTTCACCTAAACAAAAGGATAGTTTTGTAACTATGAGGATATTTGGTACCTAAATTTATTCTTTAATTTAAATTATGGTTCGTAATTTGTTATAATATTTTTTTTTATAAAAAATATACTTAATTTAAAAATAATTTTAATCACATAATTTTAATTTATGAACTAAACGTCTTATATATATTTTTTTTTTCACATCCAATTTAGCGCACTACATTTTTAAAAAAGTTTCTAAAAGCACTACTAACATTAATAAAATATAAAATTTCATATATAAATCTCCTATTATATTTTTTATTAATGAATGACGTTTAATACCATCAATACTTTTAAATTGCGCCTTGGTCACCTCGCCTACGGGCTACGAGCCGTCCAATGGTGAATACTATTCATATATGTACGTCACGTGTGATACCATAATCAAACCGCATAAATTCGTCGAAGTAATAAAAGTATCCATAGAAAAAATAAAATAAAAAAATCTTGGTTTGGATTTTGAAGAAACAAAAAAGAATTCCTGGGTTTGCAGGCATTCGTCATTCCATGACTTTCGTGTCTAATTTTTTAAGGGACATTTATAATTATGATTTATAATTTTTTATAATATATTTTTTTATAAAAATATACATAAAATAAAAATAATTTTAAATTATAATTTTGAATTCATAAAATTATAGGTATACTTAATTTGAGGGAGAGAAACCTCTTTGATTTTTTTTTTTTTTTGGTCATCTGGAGGACCTTTTTGTCAACCTTCTTTTGACTATAACCTTTCCTTTGTCCTAAAACAACCGTGTTTCAGAGCTCCGAACAAACTCCTTAAAAGTTAAAAAAACCACTCAAAAGTCTCTCTTTTCCAACCGACCCACTTGAGAATTTCAAGATTTTACTATTTTCCATCTCTCTCATCCCTCAATACCCACAATCAAATTTCCATGCTTTAACTCAAAACAATCGAAAACTTTCAAATTACCCTCCTCACTCTTAAACATTCTCATAGCCCAAAAAAGCGAACTTTTTCTTTTTCCCCTCTTAACTCCATGGAAGTTCAAGTACCTTTTATTCAAGCAGAGAACTCTTCTTCACCAAACCCAGAAGAAGAAGAAGAACCAAAAGAAACCCAACTCAACAAATCTCTCCACCTTCTTGAAACCTTCCTCAGAGTCTTGGGTTTCTGTCAATACTCGTTTCTGAGCTTCACACTCTCATGGGTCTCGTTTCTTCTTCTGGGTGTTTTTCTTCCGCTTCTAATCATAGAGATCTCTTACTGTTCTTCTGACTGTGAGAAGTACCAGATCAAGGTCTTTGAGCTTGAAATTCTGGTTTCCCAGTCTCTTGGAGCCGCCATTTCTCTGCTTTGCGTTTCTCACAATCTTCGAAAGTATGGGGTTCGGAGGTTCTTGTTTGTGGATAAGTGTCATGGTCACATGACCCAGTTTCGTGAAGAGTATACAAAGAAGATCAGAGTAACTTATATACAAAAACCCACTCTGTGTTTTATGTATATATGTTTTGTGTGTTTTCTTTTTTTGCTAATGGGTATTTATCTATCTCTATTATTGGATTTTGTATTAAATATTATGTCTTCTTACTTAGGAAGGAATGATTATTTTATTTTTTATTTTTTATTTGAGGAAGCAATAACTTATATTTAAGGTATAAGGTGGAATATTGACAATAGTACATATAAAACTAGAAACTCCTCTTTTTTCTTTTTTTTTTTTGTGATTAACAGAGAATGAATTTGCTAAAGGACCTTTTTCTATGATAGGAGATTTTATAATAGAAAATAGGTTAAAACTTTTGGTATATGTAGGGAACAATTAGTTCATTGAATCTTGCAGTAATGTCTCAAAAAAACTGTGTGTTGAATCAACCCAAGGCAAATAGGACGTCCTGTCTTAGTTATTTTACTTCTTATTTGCTTGATATTGTAGCTTATACAAGTAAATCAGCTCAGAACTGTACATAAAAAATGGACAAAGGATTTCGTATCAGGCACATTTATTTTTCCATTTCTACTCAGTTTATCTCCACATAAATTGTAAATTTTTATTCAAAAATTCTTATTTCTTCAGGGCTTCTTCCGGTTATTGTTGGTGTGGGTTTTACCTTGCTTCCTTTTGAAGGCTGCCCGTGAAGTCTTGAGGATCAGATATGTTGATAAAGACTCTTGGTGGCAATCTGCTGCTATAATATTTGGTTTGCTCTTCTCTTGGACCTTTTCCAGTATAATCTTCCTGTCAGGCAGTTGTTTGTTCAATTTGGTCTGCAACTTGCAAATCATACACTTTGAGAATTACGGGAAGCTTTTAGAAAGGGATTTGGATGTCTCGGCATATATCGAAGAGCATGTTCGTCTAACTCATCATCTCTCCAAAATTAGCCACAGGTTCCGAATATTTCTTCTGCTAGAGTTCTTAATTGTCACAGCTAGTCAGTTTGTGGCCTTGTTGCAGACCACGGGGAACCGCGGAATCATCAACTTCATCAATGGCGGCGACTTTGCAGTAAGTTTAGCCATTTAGGAACAACCACTTCATGTGGTTTGGATGAAAGATAAACTAAAGTCGCATCGTTTTCACAATCTCGCAACTTTTCAATAAGAAAACTTTGTGTTAGTTTAACAAAGTGTAGAGATTAACAAAGGATTTGCTTCCAGATCTTTATATAATAGGTGTACCCTACCGATAATGCATGTTTCAAAACGCTAGATCTAGCTAGTTAAATCACAGCAAAATAAATAAATAAAAATAAAAACATTTAGAGAAGTAACAGAACCCGATATAGATTTGATCGTTCAAAACATAGGCTTGTTCGTACGGCTTTATTTTTTTTGTACCTTACCGTAGAATTTTCAGTTATGAAATCGTGTTGGAAACGTCATTACCTCATGACTGTAAACTGGGCATTTCAACCATGATCTTGCTTTGTGAAATATGATGTACCTAGTAAGTTCTGCTCTGTGTTCTAGCTTTTATCTTCTTACATTTTGCTCTTTACTTTGTGGTTCTCTCTCTAAGATCTTTGTTAAACCCTTCGAAATATAACCTGATCATCACTATGGGCATTTGGGCAGGTCACCTCTATCGTCGAGCTTGTTGGGATCATCATTTGCCTGCATGCGGCCGCCAAGATTTCACATCGAGCGCAAGCTCTTGCGTCGGTTACCAGCAGATGGCATGCTTTAGTTACGTGCAATTCCAGCAACCTTTCTCAATCAAACAATGGTGGAAATATGGAGGCTTCTTTTACATCAGGATCTGGATCGATGCCCATAAACTACTCAGAAAGTGATTTGGAGGCTGTTGACTTTGTGCCGGTTCCTGCAAACACTCAATTGGCTTCCTATATGTCCATGTACCACAAAAGACAAGCTTTTGGTATTGTCCACTCCATAATTTTCTATTGCCTTGAATTTTCTATGAAACTATTAAGTTGAATTTAATCAAGTTTACTTGTTTCTCTGCAGTAACTTACACGCTGTCCCATCGTGGCGGAGCTACTATATTTGGATGGACGGTCGATCGCGCACTCATCAGTACTATCTTCTTTGTCGAACTATCGCTGGTTCTATTTGTGCTAGGGAAGACCATAACTTTCAGTTTCACTAGCAGCACCAAATGACAAGTTCGTGATCCTGGCAAGTCGTTTGCCTATAATTAGTGTTAAAGGACTAGCATGACTCAGTGTAACAAGGCCTTAGTTGGATTTTATTTTATTTGCATATCGGATATCGCAAAAATATACATTTTAGCATATTTTTGCGGCTGAAACAAGATGAGAGACACAACTCCATTTGACGCAGCAGCAGCCGCTGCTTACTTTTTTAGAATGTTTAAGAATGATGAAATAGGTTGAAGTAGCAGTATTATATTTTCTTTAGCTATCTCTTAGTATAGCAACCCAAAAGTAAAACGTTTTGAAGGTGTAATGTTAACATTCATGGGCCGGTGTTTTTCAGAGCGAAAAAGGATTATAGTAGGTTATATTATGTTATGTTATATAATTATATCATATAAATTGGAAAATGAATATTCAAAGTTTTTTTTGAGGGGTTTAAAGATATTGTTTTGTTCTGAATATAAATTCAAAAATTTTATGAAAGAAAATACTATTGAAAATGTTTGAATTATAGTTCAAACTTATGAAACAAACGATACAAAAGAGTTTTGATTTCGAGTTTGACGAGCATTCTCCAAATATAGCGATCCTGACAAGGATTTGGCGTCTTTTGTTGGAAAGAACAAAGAGGTGGGCAAAGTGCTAACCTGCCGAGAAGCAAGTCGGGTTCATTTCACCGGCATTTGGTTTCATGTTCGTGACATCCCTTTAGATTGCTTCAACGAGGCAAATGCAATATTGGCGCAAAAGCTGCTGGTGAAGTGCTTCAGGTATTTCTGTTCGAAAGGAACGCTCACCCACGGTGCAGAGATAAATATGGTCAAAAGGACCGTGTCAGGCCGGCACAACCCTTCTAACACTAGGCCTAACAAGAGTCTGGGCTGGGCCTGAGGGATGACCCTCAGGCCCAACTCTGGCCCAGGCCCTTGTCCATAAGTGTTAGGGCCGGGTCCGGGCCCTAGTCCATTTCATATTTATTATCATATTTAATTAAAAAAAGAAAATACATCATATGTCTTAAAAAATGTGATTTTATTGAATTGAAATATATGAATAAGTACACATAAATAACTGTCTCGTTAAAAACCTTACCAAGTAAAATCCGTAGGGAGATCGGGACAAAACCTTAGAAGAGTGCAGTATATAAGGATAAGTAAATTACACTGTGGCCGAATTACTTCAAGAAGATTTTGTTATGTCTTAGTTTGAAAAATAGTCTAAAAGTGTATCTCTATAAGAATAACCTCTTAATTACAATCCCTTGGTACAAGGGAAAAACTTTTGATTCCAATTAAAACAATAAATACTATTTTTTTTGTGAATTTGGGTTGATTTAAAATTTCGGCTGAACTCGGTGAATTTAGCCGAGTTGCCTACATACCCTATTGAGGGATCAAGCCACTTGTAGTTTGAATTTTGGGTTTGAAAATTTTGCATAATTCCTCAGTGTATGACATTATGAGGAATTAATGCACTTTGAAATTTGATTTGGTTTTGTATTGATTTTGTCTTTTATGAGGATTTTTAGGATTGAATTTGATCTTGAAACTGCACCTAAATTTTAGATTCATAGTTCTTGAATTTGAATTTTGATTTTGGAGAATTTCTCGATATATGACCATATGAGGAATTCAAAGATGTTTTAAAATTTGATTTGGAATTTTACTTTAGAATTTGGATTTGAAAGTTGTATTTAGATAATTCCCCGGTATACGACCTTATGGGGAATTAAAAGGATCCTTTTTGACTTTGGTATTGAGATTATTTTGATTTGAATTTGGGATTTAAAAATTGCATTTAATCATCATATGATTTTATGAGACAATGGACTCATCTTTTTGAACTAAGGGACCATAAAGGAGTCTAATTTGTGCACTTTAAATTTTTAGGTATTTAATATTCCAAATTTTTTTAAAATTTATCTTTTATCCCTTATCTTTTTTTTTAATTTTAAATTTCATCATCTTCAAATTGATTGATTCGATTGTATGATGTATATCCCATTTTTTTTGCTAACAATTTAATTTTAAAGGAAACTTGGATTTCACTCATCCACTCTACACGTTCTTTTTATGTGTGTGTGTGTATATATATATATATATATATATACACGTGAGCCATTGTAGCTTCTACACTGTAAACATCACAGCAAGTATCACAACAAGTCTAGCGTGAGCTTTTGGTATATATATATTGGTGCTTTGTGAAGATATTGAGAAAGAAATGAAGGCGACGGCTTGCTTGCTTTTTTTGTTTTTTAATATCTTCATTGTTTGATTATTTCTCGGCGGGTATAGTGTGATTTATATGAATATTTTCATATGCACATAATTTCTCATATGCCGATTCTTAAAGTGTAATTCGTATGATTATAAATAATTAGGGTGTTGTTCCTCTCTCATTTTGTTTATCCTCATTTGTACATGTGCAGCCGTCCTCTTTCATTTTCATTCTTGTTATATATATATATATATATAACTCTTATCCCATTTGTTAGGAATACTGCACACCAATATATAATTGGGCAATTGTTTAAATTCTTGGTTTGTATTTATTTTTAACTTATATAGATTTCTATATAAAGAAAATCCAAGTCAAAGTAACAAACACAGTTTTTTTTACCATGAATTCACAATCGTAACAAATAATTTGGAAAACTTTTAATTCTTGAATTTTTTAAAATCACATTTAACTTATCTAGATCTCTAAAAAGAAATCCACGTCTTAGTGATAATCATAGGATTGTGATAAGAACGAGGAACCACACACCATGAGTGTATTATGAATTTTTTAAGAGTATTACAAATAAGAAATCTCACGCCATAAGGCGTACATAAGATTTATCTTCGTAGAGAGTGTCAAGGAGTAAATCACAATCCCACACTTTAAAGTGTATATAGGACTTGATTTAAATGCACTGTATATGTTTAATAACACAGAAAACTAAAACTGTTAGTGCAGAAGAAGACAAAAATATCAAAATATGTATTTACCTTCTTGTTTTTAAATACTGCACTGCACTTCTGAGGATGCATTTTCTTTTTTTTCCCCTCACGCTACTGTCATCTGCACACACACACTTTTGTTTTTTTCTCACTTTTCTTCCTGTCAACTGCACACACACACACTTTTTTTTTCTCACTTTTCTTACTGTCACCTGCACACAATTTCTTTTGCTGTACACTCTTTTACCTTGCTGCACACACTAAAGCCTATGTCTTTAGAAAAGGTTTTTCTTCCCTTTTTTTTGCTTCTTTCTTTATATAAGAGAATTCCGTAACAGTTTTGGCCATTACTCCACATTCTGCACCTTATTTGCCATCACTCCACGTTAGGCACCCTTTTTGTCATCACTCCACGTTCTAAAACGTGTATTTTTAATCCCCCCCCTTCTTTCTTCTTTTTTTTATTTGGGCGAACTGTTCCTTGATGTCGAAGTTGCCTGTTCTTATTTTCTAACTGGGAAAGTTTGATCTAGCTTCTGAAGCGGGAAGGTGAAACTGGTCATTAATGTCTCAACCACACTCTTGACGGATGCTAAAGCCTTTTGTTTAGGAGCTCGCTGACTTTTGGGCACGTACTTAAAAGTCATCCTTTGATTGGGCTTGGATGAGCTCTTAACATGTTTGGTGGTGCCATTCATCTTTTCTCCTTTTAACATTTTGTTGGCATCCCTTAAGATTTTGACATCGGCCGATTTGTAGAACTTGACATCAGCGTAGTTTACATGTTCCCCTCTAAACGGGTCCATATCTGCATTTACTTTCATTACTTCCCTATCTTTGTAAAACTTAAAACATTGATGAAGTGTTGAAGGGATAACGCCACACCCATGGAGCCACGGTCTTCCTAACAGCATGTTGTAGGAAATATTTGAATCGATCACATGGAAAATGACATTTTAACTTAATTCACCTATTGCAACTTTTAAGGTGATACTCCCAATGCTCTCTCCCCCGCTTAGTTGAACCCTTGGATTGTCAATGGGGAAGAGGATAAATGTCGAGGTTGTAAGCCAATTGCCCTGAGACTTTTTAAAGGGAGTGCATTTACCGCCGAACCACCATCTAACATTATGTGGTTTATTTCAGTATCTAGAATCATTCCCGTAACATAAAGTGGTCGATTGTGATTTTCTTCACCAAGTTGGTGGTCATCATCACTAAAGGAGATGCATGCCATGCAAGAGGCGCATATCTCATAAGATGAAACTTTACCTCCGGGAGCCTCTATTTTCCTTTTAAAAGGTTAAGGATCGGTCAATGCAGTTATGAGCACTTTTCTAAGCTCTGGAGACATTTGTAGAGCATCATAAATACTTTAAAAAGTAGAAATACGCTTTAAATGAGCTAGAATGTTGTAATTAACATGGCTTGAATGATTTTCTTCTTCTTTGATAGACTTAGGATGGGCACCGTTGTCTTCAATTTTTGTGTTTTTCTTGCCTTTTATGAGTTCATTTGCCTATTTTACTTTCTGAATGTTGAGCTTCATTTCCCGAAGTGTTATCTAATCTACCTCCTCTAAATTGACGACATTTAGAAGGAAAACAGGCTCTTTCATCCCTTCTTCTTCTTCTCATTCTTCTTCTTTAGAAGTCATGCAATGATGAACGACATCTTCATCATAAAGTGACTCTTCCTCTAGTGATATTTCAGAGGTGATATCACTATTGCTCCTTTCTGCTTCGAAAGCTCTAGGATCCTCTTAAAGTGCTTTAGGCAGAAATTCCTTTAGCGTGAATGGCATTCTTATTGGTTGCATGTATTCTTCTTCATTGAGATTCTTTTTTTTCTTGGCTCTTCTTCTTTTCTTTTTGTTCTTTTTTAGTTCGGGCCTCTCGATAAATCGAATACCTGAATTTTTTATTGTCCTCACACTTCTTTGTAAATGATTTTCTTTCTTCTTGGACTTCTTATTCACATGAAGATGCCATTTATTCCCTAACTCAGGTTTATTGTCCGGTAGATCTTCCCACGTTTCAATACTTGGCTCATTCATGAGTTCATACAACGTGGGTATATTGGCATTGCTTGGAGTGAGTGTCTCAGGGTATATGCTGACAACCTTTACTTCATCGTCTATTTCAAAGGCTACTGGAATGACGCCTCTTTATAGGGTATTTACCGGTAAATGATCGTCATCTACTAATGAGACGGTATTCAATGTTGCTTTTGGACATAAAGAATCCACTTTTATTTCTTTTCTTTTGATCATTCCTTCGACTATATTCTTCAGGAAATAACAATCCTTTAAGGAATGACTGATGATGTGATGGTATCGGCAATAATTAGGATCATCGGTCTTATCAACCTCATTTGGCTTTTTTAGCTCAGGGAGTTTTATTGCTTTTGCA